GCCACTAATGATGCAAAGAAGCAACAGTGCACTGTCGTTACAAAGTGCACTTCAGCAATTCTCTTTCAACAGCCCTCGCAAACCCATGGCCTGTACCACCTAGACGGACAAGGGCAGTAGATCCACAGGCACACCACCACTTGCAAGATCTGTCCAAGCCACAGACCAGTCTGACATGGAATCACAGATCAGATTTTTCAGTCTCTTGATAGTTAGAGACAAGCCGTACCCTGAGAAGTGTGGTTGGATCTCTCAAATGACTATGCAGGAATTTCCCAGGAAGTTGAAGCTCTAAATTGTGCAGTGTCCAGAAGCTTTCAAAATATTCCCAAAATCTATGTTAGAGCCATGGTCCTCAGAGAATTCTGACTTACATTAAGTTAGCCAGGAACGATTAGAGGATTAAAACCTCCTCTAATTCCGAGCTAACTATAAAACTGATCCCCTTTGACTCACCACTGGACCTAATCAATCACTTGACTTCATCAGCATTGGCCACAATAGAAACCTGAATGATATCCCATCCTTGCCATTGACACACAAACTATGATCCCCTGCACCACCCCCCCCCCCCCCCAACCCCCCCCCCCAACCCATGGACACCTGACTTACCCTACATCTCATGGACACACAAACAAATCCCCATCCTGGACACCTGACCATTCCCCACTCTACTAGATACCTGTGAATAACAGAGCCTCCCCCCCATCCCAGACACTATCAAATTTCCCCTCCTCACATACCTGTCAACTGTATCCCTCTGTAACGCCCTCACCCCATCACCATTTATTTGCCACCCTACCTCTTCATGCGTTTGACAACTGAATCCTTTATGACTGGTACTTTACCCTGGCACTCACCTTCCAACCTAACACCCCTACCCGCCTTGTACCCTACCCTTCCAACTCAACTTACACACTTGTCTTTTTCAATTATCTGGTAAGGTGACTTTTAAACATGGAACACAGTTGTTACTACTGTTAAAAGACGTTGTGGTTTCTGTGACAATCCACTCAGCACTGTCTTTGTAGTTTCCTTTACTGCTTCAGTTATATGACTTCTGTCTCTGAAGATCATCCAGAAAAATCCCTGAAAGTTAAATTTCTGTAAGATGATAGAATCATAGAGCCATAAGATTGTAAAGTATGGAAGAGGCCCTTCAGTCCATCGAGTCTGAACTGGATAAATACACCACTGTATGCACTAGACTCATTTTTCTACACTGGGCCCACCAGCCCCAAATGTTATGATACTTCAAGTGCTCGTCCAAGTACATTTTGAAGTTGTGAGTTTTCCCACCTCAACCATCCTCGCAGGCAGTGTATTCTAGACGCCACCACCCTCTGGGTAAAAAAAATGCTTCCTCAAATCCTCTCTAACCCTTCTTTGTTTCACTTTAAAATTACGCCCCCTTCTTATTGACCCTTCAGTGAGGGGAACAGCTGCTTTCTATTGATCCTGTCCATGCCCCTTTTAATTTTATACACCTCTATCATATCTCCCCTAAATCTTCTCTGCTCCAACAAAACAACCCAACTTATCCAGCCTTCCTTCACAACCAAAATGCCGGAACCCAGGCAACATCCTGGTGAATCTCCTCTGCAACCCATCCAGTGCAATAATATCCTTCCTATAGTGCGGTGACCAGAACTGCACACAGTATTCCAGCTGTGGCCCAACCAAAGTTCTGTACAGCTTCAACATGACCTACCCGCTCTTATAAACGCTGCCACGACTGATTAAAGCAAGCATCCCGTATGCTTCTTAACAACCCTATTAACCTGACTGCTACCTTCAGGGATCTGTGGACAAGCACCCCAAGATCCCTCTGTTCCTCTGATTATGTTCTGCCGTTCATTGAGTACTCCCTTGCTTTGTTCCTTCATTCAAGGTGCATCACCTCACATTTATCAGGGTTGAATACCATCTTCCACTGATCTGCCCATCTGACCAATCTGTTTATATCCTCCTGTAACCTAATACATTACTCCTCACTGTCTACCACCTTACCAATCTTTGTGTCATCCACAAACTTACTTATCATCCCCTCACATTCTTGTCTACATTATTTATGAATATCACAAACAATAAGGGACCTAGCACTGATTCCTGCAGTACGTCACTGTGCACTGGGTTCCAGTCACTAAAGTAGACTTCTATCACCATCCTCTGTCTCCTGTTTAGGAATTATGACCTAGATTAGCAGACTCAGGCCCAAATTACTGTCCCTTCACTGTGGCTAGTTCTGAATCCTCCAACTCCCCTCTCTAACACTACATAGAGTGCAACATTCCAAGAGGGCAGCTAAGTGCCATCTTCACAGGGGCACTTAAAGATAGGAAATAAACAGTGACACCCACATCCCCGAAATTACTAGAGAAAAAAATCTTCTTATGTGGCTTGGTATTATGTTTTGTTTTATAATACTTGTGTGAAATGCTTTGGGACCTTTTGGAGGGACTTTCTTATGAGGAGAGTTTGTGTAGGCTGGCCTGGGACTCAATGGGATTTAGAAGAATGAGAAGGAGACCTTATTGAATCATTTAATAAGTAAGTGTAGCGATTGGAATGAGGGCCAGTTGGATCTCGTTGACTATGAGATCCTTGATGGGGTTTGTTAACCTGAGCCAATTAGGGAGCCCTGGCTGACAGATATAAACAGGAGATTCAGAAGGTCTCTTCAGTCTAGGGTAGGCTTTGAGCTGGCTGGTCAGAGCCTATGTAAATAAATGGTGGTGGGGGAAAAATACTGGTCTCTGTGCAGTTACTTCATTAATGGAATAAAAGGTTATGGTGACAGGGCAGAAAAGTGGAGCTAATGATTTCATTGAATAACCTATGAGATTCGATGGGCAGAATGGCCTATTTCTCCAACCTCTTCTGGTAATTTGTAACATTAAAGGCACTCTATAAATGTGCCCTGGAACCACAGGAAGTGCTACATCTGCCCCTACACCTTCCCCGTCACCCCCATTCCAGGCCCCAAGAAAACCTTCCACATCAAACAGATGTCACCTGCACATCTGCTAATGTGGTACAATGTATCTGCTGTTCCCGACATGGCCTCCTCTACATCGGGGAAACCAAGTGGAGGCTTGGAGACCGCTTTGTGGAACACCTATGCTTGGTTCGCGAAAAATGACTGCACCTCCCAGTCATGAAGCACTTCAACTCCCCCTTCCACTCCTTGGATGACATGTCCATTCTGGGCCTCCTCCAGTGCCACAACGATGCCACCCGAAGGTTGCAGGAACAGCATCTCATATTCAGCTTGGGAATCCTGCAGCCCAATGGTATCAATGTGGACTTCACAAGCTTCAAAATCTCCCCTCCTCCGACTGCATCCCAAAACCAGCCCAGCTTGTCCCCGCCTCCCTAACCTGTCCTTCCTCCCACCTATCCCCTCCTCCCACCTCAAGCCCCACCCCCATCTCCCGCCTACTAGCCTCATCCCCGCCTCCTTGACCTGTCTATCCTCCCTGGACTAACCAACCTCCACCGTAACTCCCCACCTACACTCACCTTTACTAGCTCCATCCCCGTCTCCTCTCCACCTATCTGCTCCTTTATCCATCTTCCATCCGCATTCCCCTCTCTCTCTCTATTTATTTCAGAATCCCCATCCCCTCCCCCATTTCTGAAGAAGGGTCCAGACCCGAAACGTCAGCCTTCCTGCTCTTCTGATGCTGCTTGGCCTGCTGTGTTCATCCAGCTCTACACGTTGTTATCTCCATAAATGTGAATTGTTGAACCGAGCCTCCGTGTTGGATGATTATATAGATGATTTGGAGTTGGGGACCACGTGTAGGGTGTCAAAGTTTGCAGATGACACTAAGATGAGTGGCAGAGCAAAGTGTGCAGAGGACTGTGAAACTTTGCACAGGAACATAGATACATTGAGTGAGTGGGCAAAGGTCTGGCAGATGGAATACAATGTAAATAAATGTGAAGTCATACATTTTGGTAGGAGTAATAGTAAAAAGGATTATTACTTGAATGGTAAAAAGTTGCAGCATGCTGCTGTGCAGAGGGACCTGGGTGTCCTTGTGCATGAATCACAGAAGGTAGGTCTGCAGGTACAACAAGTAATCAGGAAGGCAAATGGAATTTTGTCCTTCATTGCTAAAGGGATTGAGATTAAAAGCAGAGAGGTTATGTTGCAGCTGTACAAGGTGCTGGTGAGGCCACACCTGGAGCACTGTGTGCAGTTTTGGTCTCCTTACTTGGGAAAGGATGTACTGGCACTGGAGGGGGTGCAAAGGAGGTTCACTAGGTTGATTCCGGAGTTGAGGGGGTTGGTTTATGAGGAGAGACTGAGTAGATTGGGATTATATTCATTGGAATTCAGAAGATTGAGGGGGGATTTTATAGAAACATATAAAATTATGAAGGGAATAGATAAGATAGAAGTAGAGAGGATGTTTCCACTGGCAAGTGAAGCTAGGACAAGAGGGCATAGCCTCAAGATTAGAGGGAGCAGATTTAGGACTGAATTGAGAAGGAACTTCTTCACCCAGAGGGTTGTTAATCTATGGAATTCCTTGCCCAGTGAAGTAGTAGCTACTTCAGTAAACGCTTTTAAAGATAAGGAAGATTTTTTTTGAACAATAAAAGAATTAAGGGATACGGTGAGAACGCGGGTAAGTGGATCTGAGTTCACGAAAAGATCAGCCATGATCTTATTGAATGGCGGAGCAGGCTCGAAGGGCCGGACGGCCTACTCCTGCTCCTAGTTCTTATGTATGTTCTAAATGACTTGGTTAAAAAGCGGTATCCCCCAGCATCTTTAACCCCTGTGTGTTCCTGACAGCCGCCTCCTCACCTGAGCGCCAGGTGTGTGTATGTGTGCGCGCGTCGGAGGGGGCGGGGCTAGAGGGAACCAAGCCCCGCCCACTAGCCGCGGCATGGTTGTGGTGGCGGGGGGGGAGGGTGCGCGGCGGCGCGCGCGGTCGTCCGGCACGCACGTCCCACACACCAAAGCCGCCGCCAGGGTGACGCGCCCAGCGTCGGGAGCGCGCCCGCCTTCTGCGCTGACAAGTCTCGCCCAGGTGAGGTGCGGCTGTAACTGGTCGAAGGAGGAAGGCGCGAGCGAGTGAGTGAGGAAAGGGATCCTAATCCGGGCGGAAAGCTCCATCAACATCACTGCATTGAAAGGAAGAAAAATAGACTGTGGAACCCAAAGGAAACCTGTCTGGGAGGTTAAAAGTCTGAGAGAGAGAGAGAGAGAGAGAAAAAGAAAAAGAAAAAGAAAAAGAGTCGGAGTTCAGGTTAAAGAAAGAAAGTCTGTCCTATCTTCTGTTCCTCTCTCTCTCTCTCTCTCTGCCGGTCCGGAGGGGGAAACCATGGCGGAGCAGGAAAGCCTAGAGTTCGGGAAGGCAGACTTTGTCCTCCTGGACACCGTCAGCATGTCAGAATTCATGGCAAACCTGAAACTGAGGTAAGAGAGGGTCGAGGCAAAGGAGGGACACCCCTTTTGCCCCCTTCCCCTGCACTTGTGTCATAAAAGAAGGAAATGAATGGGATTTAAAATAAGGGGAAAGATGCTGGGATAGAGATTGTGCTGGAGGGTGTAATGTGCGGTTTGTTAATGCAGAAGAATCCCCAGTAAACTCGCCGATTTAGGTGGGAGGTTGCCCTAAGGGGGGAAGGGACGGGGGATTAATCCAGCATTACCTGCTCATCTACCTCAGGAGAAACTGAAACTTCTTGTACTGGCTGTAACAGTACAACCCCGGCGATGCAGTTTTTGCTTTGGATTCATGATGCTAGAGATAAACTTGTACTTGTCAAGTGTTGCCTTCTGTTTCAGTCCATGAGCGTAATTTGTGCAAAGATATTCTGCTCCACTGTGTACGATATTGTGTGGCAATAGGTAACGTTGCTATGATTGTAATATCTAATTTTACTGCAACTGGTTGCTCTCTGAATTGTCTATTTAATGTGGAGCAATGATGATTATTGGCGTAGCCTGGGAGGCGGAGTTGGTGAGGAGGATATGCGTCTGCTTTATCCCTGCTCAATGTCCAAACTTTTTTTTGCCATGGATTTATCTCCCCAATCTTACAAAGTCTAAATCAAACAAATTGCTCTAATGTCTAACCCCTAAATATGCCCACTTTTTAAATTATATTTATGTATGTACATATATAGATTTTATGACTGCCCCACCCCTTGCACTGCGTACATTTTAGTAAACTACAAGGCAATAATCCAATTATTTCACTCAGTAAATTATGATCTGTTGTTACCTGAAAGGCAGCAGATCCAAAAGCAATTTTCAAAATGTAATTTGATCCTTTTTTTAAAAATGGGGACTATGGGGGAATCCGGGGGATTGGGATTAGGCATGTGATCTCTGAGAATCAATACGGGAATGGAGGGCCAAATGGCAAACTCCTGTGTCCCCTGATTTTTTGGAAAGCATTTTAGATGTTACTCATTGAATTAAACTTCAAGATTGGTTGATTACTTTATTTTAAAATAGTGAGTGTGCACTTTAATTCTGAACAACAAACAATGATCAGGAGTGTGTTACAAAACTAACACAATGGAGGAGTGGAGAATTAAAGATTCTGATTATTTTTTATTTTGTCCAGGCACAATCCCAGTTGACTGTTTTCAGTTTTGTGACTTTGATTGTATCACACTACAGATGGTTGATTGTATTCATTCTGGCAGACACAATTGCTGTGTGCCTTCGTGTCATGTGGCAAGGAGGAGAAACATTTGCTACAAAATTGTATATTGTACGTCAGTTTAGTATTTTGTTATGCCTTTGTGTGTATTGTCAATCCATTTTATGAAATCAAAAGGATTTGGGGATTGCCTGCTTAATTGTAAAATGCACTTTAAAATAGTTCGTGTGCTCAGTGCTTAGAGATGTTTGAGTGATCTAGAAACAGGAGTGGGAAGAGGCCATTCGGCCCTTCGAGCCTGGTCTGCCATTCATTACCATCATGGCTGATCATCCAACACAATAACCTAATCCTGCTTCCTCCCCATAACCTGTGATCCCATTCACCCCAAGTGCTATATCTAGCCACATCTTGAATACATTCAATGTTTTGGCATCAACTACTTCCTGTGGTAACGAATTCCACAGGCTCGCCACTCTTTGGGTGAAGAAATGTCTCCTCATTTCTGTCATAAATGGTCTACCCCGAATCCTCAGTCTGTGACCCCTGGTTCAGGACACACCCATCATCAGGAACATCCTTCCTACATCTACACTGTCTAGTCCTGTTAGACTTTTATAAGTCTCTGAGATTTCCCCCCTCATTTCTCTGAACTCCAGTGAAAAATCACTTTTTTTTCAAGTTTAATTTAGGCAACCTGTTATCTAGGATCTAACCCTCATGTTTGTGCTCTCAAATCTTTTCTGTGGCCTGACGGCAGACTATTGGCTCAGTCTAACTCAAATCTACTACTAGGCTATGGAAACTGGAAATAACAACATACACATGAGGAACAGGCTCCTAGAATCCAAATTAAAATAACAGTATGACTGCAGCATCAATGATTGTGATTTGGTCTTACCATCAGTTACACAAAACCAGTTCAAAGCTTCTTGCAGCAAAGTCACTAAGAGAAGTTTTTAGTAAATTGTTGCTCTTTTATGATGGGTGACCAAACTTAAACACCGCTCCATTATAAATTTCACCCCTGAAAATGAATTCTATTGGAATTTAGTTCAGATTTCTGTTTTGCTTTTCAATTTGGTTTCTGACAATATCATTTGGCAGCTGTTTAGAAGGACCGTCCGAGTACTTGTAATCTAAATAACTTGTGATCATTGATGCATTCTTAATTTAATTAACTTGGCTGATGAGAAATTCACTCCCAATGTTCCTTCCCTTATTGAATCATTTTATTAAGTTATTTTAACACCAGTATACTATTGAGGCAGGAGAGGATCTTATTACATTTTGTCAAATTTTCTTTTAAAAGAAGTGCTCCTGTGAATCCTTTAAGCAATATATGGTCAACATGCCTAGTTTGCCAGGTTGTTTGATGTTAGCAAACTGTTTTACCAAGGAGAGTATCAGTTATTTTCATCTTTATCCTGATTGGTCTGCTGTATCTCTGCATTTTCTGTAAGGGGTCACCCAACAAATGATTCCTCTGTAATGTGGGTTGCTGATATTAACTTTAGCTCAATTACAGTTTAGTCACTGAGCTCAGCACAGGCCAGGAATTAGACCTGAAACCACTGGTCCAAATGATTGACTGACACATCTCCAAACCAAAACACGAGAAGACCATCTTTACTTCAGTTTGAAAGTCATGATTTGGAGGTGCTGGTGTTGAACTAGGGTGGATAAGGCCAGAAGTCACATGACACCATGTTATAGTCCAACAGGTTTATTTGAAATCACAAGCTTTTGGGGGCACTGCTCCTTCGCCAGGTGAAGTGACAAAGGAGCAGTACTCCGAAAGTTTTTGATTTCAAATAAACCTGTTGGACTATAACCTGGTGTTGTGTGACTTCTGACCCAATTTGAACGTTTTCTTGAATTCTATTCATCCCACCCTGGCAATACCTGCAACATGTGGCTAGCAAGACGAGAAACTTAATGTTGTTGTATTTCTAGAAATAGGCCACAGAAAAAAAGTGCAGCTAAAATTTCTATGGACTGAATTCTTGAACAAGGTTTGTTCGCCAACTGAGCCTCTTATTTAGGCTGTGACTGAATTGTAGCATTTAATCTCCCATTTTATGCAAAGCACAGTTTGAGGGTATAATAGCAGTTTAGATTTATTTTGATTTGGTTCCAAGAAGTGCTATAATTGGTGCTAATCCCTTGTGTGAATTTAGTAGCCAACTGTGTTTAATGCTAGGTAATTGGACACGTGGAGCAATGTTTTAATACTGTCAATAAACTTCAATAGTTACTGTTAATATGGGGAGCAAGTAGCCTACAATTGAGAGTAACTTGTGCTATGTGCTTTTGTTCCAAATAACCTTTTTTGTTCTGCAGCTGTAATATATTTTAGTTTGCCCGTTGCTATTTAAGGCTACTTTTTGGAACAAAATTGAAATCTGTGGTAACAGTCTTCCCTTTGAATCATAAAGTTTGTATGTTCAGGTCCTTGTCCAGAGTCTTGAGCACATTAATCCATACTAACACTAGTAACACTAACACCATCCATACTAGCAGCTTTGTCTCTCAAATGAAGCATTAACCTGAGGAAGTAAGTGAGAGTCCTGTTTCATATTTATTCTGGAACAGACCTTAATCTGCATTATCTGGTCATTATCTCATTGCAGATGGCAATTTGCAGTCTTGCAAATTGTCTGCTGTACTTCTTGCAGCATAGCAATTAAATTCCAGAGGTATTTTGGCTTTAAAATGCTTTGGGATGTTCTGAAAATGAATGGCACTATCTAAAGTCAATTTTTTTTTCTTCCTCGATCTCCAATTTAGTGTTAAACCACTGGAATGATTGGACCAGTTCAAGTCCCCATGAATTTTATGGGGAATTTTAAAATTTTATGAATTTTAAAATGACTAAACCATCAGCAGTTTACCCTACGACAGGCCTTCCCTTTTCTCTTTCTTTCCTCCTTTGCCCCCTCTCTCTCTTCCGATCCCCTCTGCACTGCACCCCCCCACCTGTTTTTGCTTGAAACTTCTTGCATCTGGGGCTTTTTCCTGATGAAAAGTTCATTGAAATGGTGAGTATTTCCAGTGTTTGCTACTTTTATTAGCATGGACTCCATTGGCTGAATGGTCTTGTTCCGATGCCATGGTGTTGCAATGGTTGCTTTTATGAGAGTAAAAAGAATTCTTTTGCAATTGGTCATGGGAAGAATGGAAGACTTCCATTCTAGGGATCTTTGTCCTCCCTTGATCCAAACTGCAAATAGATGTCATGTTTCAGTTTAGAAGCTGCCTGGTGGTTTATTTCCAGACTCCTCAAAGCCAGGTGAATGTAGTTTTAGACAATAGGGTAGTAGAAGTCTCAATAATCATGTTTTATTTAAAAAGGAATTCTAACTCAATACGGGCATTTTATTTTATATTAAAACAGGAAATGCTTAGGTCTAGCAGCATCTGTGGCGAGAGAGAGTTTGTTTTATTCATTCCTTTATAAAATGTCAACATTTACTCCCAAATGAAAAGTTTTGTGTATTTTAAAGTAGCTGTCCAACAACATTTTTGTTCCCACCTGACTCTCCTGAGTTAATAAAAGGAATGAAGCCGTGAACAAGGACAGTGGGTTGGTTGAGTAGCTCGGAGTGATGGTTGAATACAGCTTCGAAGGAAAGCAGGATTTTCATGATTTTTGGAGGGGTGTGGGGGGGCGTTTGTAGAAGAGGTGCTGAATATGGTGAGAACCTTTTACAAGCAATAGTAAAACAGGGACTATGGGATGTGCAGGATGCTAAAATTGGATCAGCCAAAGGGTGCAAAGTGGAAATTGTCCTGGAGGAGT